CACGCTACATACCAAAGGCTGAAATCCATTTTTTATTGGCTTAGGATGATTAAGGATGTGAAATCAGTAGTGCAAGAATGTGAAATTTGTCAGCGAAACAAAGATGAAAGTGTTGCTTACCCCTGATTATTGCAACCATTGCCGATTCCAGGAAGGGCTTGGGAACACATCTCCATGGACTTTATTGAGGGGCTGCCAAAATCAGGAGGGAAGGAAGTCATTTTGGTGGTTATTGATTGACTCACAAAATATGCTCATTTTATAGCCTTATCACATCCTTATAATGCCTCTCTGGTAGCCCAAGTGTTCCTAGATAATGTGTGTAAACTGCATGGATTGCTCTATTGTGTCATATAGAGACCTAATATTTGTGAGTTTGTTCTGGCATGAACTTTTAAAAAATTTACGGGTACGATTGAATTTAAGTTCAATATACCACCCTCAAATGGATGGACAAACAGAAAGGCTAAATCGATGTTAGAGGTTTACTTGAGATGTATGACTGGACAAAAGAGAAAAAAATGGAGTAAATGGCTTTCTTTAGCAGAATTTTAGTACAACACAAATTTTCAATCGACCATTGGCATGACTCCTTTTTGGACTCTTTATGGTTATGAACCCCCACAGCTAACTTTTGAGCTAATTGTTAAATCAAAGGTGGAAACAATTGACCAATTGTTACAGGAGAGGCAAATCGTAAGCAAACAATTGAAAGAGAATTTAGTCAAGGCACAAACACGCATGAAACAATATGCTGACAAAAAGAGAAGTGAGAGGACATTTGAAGTAAGAGACATGGTTTTCATTAAATTGTAGCCTTATCGCCAAACATCTGCCGCTGTGAGAAAGAATTTGAAATTGGCTTCAAATTTTTTGGCCTATATCCGGTCATCAGGAAGATTGGTCCAGTGGAATATGAGTTGCAGCTTCTAGCTGAATCACGAATCCATCCAGTGTTTCACGTCTCTCAACTCAAGAAGAAGCTTGGACCCAAAGTTTTTCCCGCCAATATCCTCCTTTAAGCACTCCTGAAGGCTAATTGGTGGCGGAACCAATGGCAATACTCGATCGAAGGATGATTAAAAGAGGAAACCATGTTGTGACACTAGAGGTGTCAAACGGGCTGGGTTGACCCGGGACTGGCACGGTCCAGACCGGTTGAAACCCGGCCCGGTACTTAGGGGGCGGGTAGGCTGGGTTACTAGGGTTAGGGGTTGGTCCATTCACTTTAATTCATCCGGTTAACCGGACCGGTCAAACCCGATCAACCAAAATCCCTGTAGAACCGGTTTACCGGCCCAGACTGGTTTAAAGGCTAGATTTCAATTTTTTTAAAAGGTTTTAGAGTTTAAGGCAATGCAAAACTTTTGAATTTACTCTTTTGTCGTTAATTTACTTGTTGTTAAATGTAAACCTTTCAATTTGTAAGTTTGAATTTTGAAATAAATGTAGCACTTGCAATTTATAAGTGCAATATTTTTTTCGTCTTCATTGTATTCTTTATATTTTTACTTTATATTATTATAAATTACAATAGTTATACAAAATACAAAAAAAACTAACCCGGCCCCGCCCCTTGGACCCGTAACCCTTACGATTTATTTTTTATCCGGATGAAATCGAACCCGTTAGGCCCGGTAGTTCCTAACCCATAACCAGCTCGGTTCGAAACCCGGGCAGTTTCAACTTTTTCCTGCCCAGCCCGGCCCACCCGTTAGACACCCTTATGTGACACAAGTGTTGGTGCAATAAGCAAATTTATCTCCTGATGAGGCAACTTGGGAAGATTTTTCTTTTCTCACCTCGCAGTTTCTAGAATTTCGACCTTGAACTATCAAGGTTCTCGAAGAGGGATGGAATGTAGCGGGTCAAGGTCAGCTGGGCTAAAGAATTGAGCCTATTAATTGAAGAACTAGTTAGTTGCTTTGGGCTCAACCCAATTTAGGATAGTTTTCTTATTGCAGTAGTAATCCACTAGCTTAGGGTCTTTCTAGAATTCACGAAAAAGGTGATTGTCTATCCAGACAAAGACACCTGTCCTAGTGTCAGTATTTTGTAACATTAAGGAATAGTACTAAGTTGTCTATTATTGATTGGTTTAATACATGGTCACAACTATAGGTCCCTAGTATATCTAACACAGCAAAATCAGTGTAGCATCATCTTTTATGAAATCAAAATCCAATTTCCTATCTTCTTTTATTTTACTGCATTTGTTATTTTTCTTTTAGTAGTTGTTTTGCTACACGCTCTTGATACTCAAGCTCCGCCCCGACTCTAGTAGGTTATTTTCTTTTGTTTCTCCTTTTGAAGTAGTTTTGATTGTTAAAAGAATAAAAATATACGTTACCTTGAGAAAGAAAATTTGAACTCAATAGCTCGGGGTTAGTTAGGTTAATCGAGTTAGTAATGTTTACTTGGGCCCAATATTATGAGTAAAACGGAAATCTTTAAAGTGGTTATTGATAAAAGACTAACAAATAGTATAAGCTATCTTGCTATCTTGAGAAAGAGACTTTTAAATTTCAATAGCTGATTGTTAGCTAGGTTTAATCGATTTCGAAATCTTTACTTTGAAGTTGGAACTAATGTTATCATATTGTATATTATTCCTTATACGGTAGATGTAGAAACCAAATGAACTCGCGCTCTTTTTCGGTGGAAAAAAAATGGAGCAATTGCCTGAAAATTTCGCTCTCCCATCAGTCTTTTGCATTGGAACGACACACAGAAATAAGAAAAAGTTCGAATGGAGATGCGGGGTATCGATCCCCGTACCTCTCGCATGCTAAGCGAGCGCTCTACCATCTGAGCTACATCCCCAATTGTCAATACACCCCTGTAAATATTAATCAATATTTCTTCATAAAGCTTTTGATCAATCTCAATAGCTTAACATGTAGATTATAGTTTGACTTAAACAAACTTCTATCTTTTTCAAGCATCTTTTAGTAGCTCTCTTTGGATTTTCATTCGCTTGCTAGTGTGTGGTGGTGGTTAAGAAAGAATTAACGAAATGATCATAAAATATTGTTAATGCATGATCCCAACCATTAATATGAATATGAATTTGGCACTTGCAGCCCCCTAGAACTCCATTGGGGCAAATTTAGTAATGCTCGCTGTCACTGGACAGTGATTTGAAGTCTCGCTGTCCTAATTGAAGGACTTATATAGGTAATAATATGTCTCTTGTTCTTGTCATCGTTTCGTGCAAACAAGAATCAAATTGAATTTCTTAGGTGATATGTATAATATCACAACCGCAAATTTGATGCTCCAATATATGATATAATATTCTATCAAGAGAAAAAAAAAAAAAAAAAAAAAAAAAAAAAAAAAAAAAAAGATAGGCGGACGGCCGAATATATAGGTAAAGTGAATTAAAAATCTCAGCTGCACTAATTTCGTTTCGATCATAAATAATTTACTAACTAGTCTGCATCTCACACTTATAATAAATAAATAAATAAATAAATTGTTCCTCCCTTCGGTCCAAGTAATCTTTTGGCCTTTTTATTTTGATCCAAAATAAGTGCTCTTTTATATAATCAAAAATGAATTAACTTTATTTTTTCAATTTTTTTCTTATTTGCATAGCCCAATATGTCAAATTAACAATATACAAATTTAATTAAGGCGAAATACATAAACGGCTCCTTTAAGTTGTCCACAACGATCAAACAGCCTCCTCAACTGACCCATTTACCATTTAAATACTTCAAGTGACTATTAAGTGTATCAAGTAAACACATGTTGTTGATGAGGCATACGCGTGTTTGCAAACAAAAATTTGAGCGCATGAAGTCATTTTTTAGCCTAATTTTATTTTTCTTTGAAAAAAAACCAAGAAACCTTAGAGCACCGTAGTAGCTAGCTAAAACAGCTGCAACTAAATCTTTCTTCTTCCTTTCTTCTCTAAACCACCTCAACCCCACAGTCAAACCGTCATAGAAGCGAGGAAAGCCAGCCATTAAAGCTCGAACTAAGCACCGTAAATTACCAGAAACTGCAACCTTTCACCACAAAACTCTATTATCCGTGACCTTCAGAGCTCCGCCTAGTTCCGTCGACCTAAAATTAGTTCCAAACCCAGCTGAAAGAAGCATCAAAAATGTTGTTGCTGCGAAAAACCACAATTTTTTGGTCAGTCCTGTCACCCTCATCTCTACCATAAGAACACAATTTCTCCACCCTCTTTCATCTTCATCAGCGGACAATTTTAAAGATAATTTTACACCAAAAATAATAAATTAGAAAAAAAAAGTGATATAAGCCCAAATTCTTAATCAAGAAAATAATGGAGAGAGAAGAATGAAGATTCGAATAGATCATTTTTTTTAGCTTTGCTTGGAGAACGAATTTTCCGGTGATAAAGATCACATAAGAGGAGCTTTTCCGGCGAGGTCCATCAATGATCCCTTAGTGGGTTCTCTATTTGGCTAATCTATGTTATTTTATATTTGTATAAGTTTTAATTTATTGGGTGGATTTTGTCAAAGGCATGGGATGAGGGATGAGAATGGGAGCAAAGAAGAAGATGAAAGGGAGGGGGGAAAAGAGAGAGGGGGGTGGGTGCGTGAGGAGGGGGATAGCGCTCGTTTTGATAAAAGTAAAGGAAAGGGGTTTATTTTTCTTCTTTAGATGTATTTTCTATTTTTGTTAATTATATGTGTTTTTTTATTATAAATTATACGTATCGTACTTTAATTGGCTCATTTGACTGGTCATAGACAATTGTAACTCATGCATGTGGTCTGATGCACTCGGATGTTTAGTTGATACACTTAATAGTCACTTGAACTGTTTAAATAATAAATGGGTCAGTTGAGGAGGCTGTTTGATCGTTGTCCAGAAGTGTGCCAAATAATAAAATGTCACTTATTATGGATAGCAAAGAGTAACATTTTTATGACAAATACTCAATAATATAAATTTAACGACATATACTTTGATACTAAAAAGTTACTAACCATAGAAAATCAAATGAACGGAGTCGGTGGATTAATGCCTGGGCAATGTTTATTTCCTTTAACAGTCAAATCTGCTCTATAAGATTTACATTGTTTCACATTTAGATTTAAGCAGGTTTCTTGTTTATCTATGAATATAATATAAGGTGTACATATATGGAATCCTTTTTTCTAGTTTCATCTACGAGCTGAAACTGTGCTTGTTTTGCCAGTTTACTCTCTCTAAAGTTGACAGACTAAACCTGTGTAGTAACATGTCAAGCATATACTAACATGAATAATCCGTTATATAAAAGATTACATTTTATACATCGATCTCTGTATTAAGCAAGCTCAAAATCTTTATTTTGCCCCGTTAATTGCTCCCTCAAGGTACATCATCATTTGGAGGGGTCTTTGGAATCTTAACTTGTAAGAATTTGTGATCGCCACTCAAGAATGCCTCTGTTTTTCTCCAATCTGCATTTTCAGGCAGTTCAATCCTCCGAACACAGCCGTATTCCCACCAATTTCCAGCTCTCCAGTCCTCTTTTTGTTGCCTCAACTGGCCACTGACCACTAAAACTTTCCCATCTTCAACACAAACACGAATGTTACCCTTACCAACTCCTGTTTCAGATATTAACACTGTTAATTCCTATCGCAAGCCATAAATATATGCAAGTATTAAACTTCTTGAAATATCGCTGAAATAATCCTTATTCCCAAGTCATCTCATTGAGGACAAGGTTTCTTTGTCTCAGCGAATAACTAAAAGAAACTATGAGTTAAGTAATTATACCTACAACTCCATATATATAGAGGCTAATGTTTTGTGGACCTGCATCCAATGGCGGAGCTAGAAATTCTACAAAGGGTGTTCAAGGTTTTAGATATATATATTTATAAAAAGTATTTTTTGTCGGGAATAAACCCCGTAAAAATAGTATTCACGGTATTAATGATAAACACAAAATACTAAGTTATGGTTAAATCAACAAGAATAGAAATGCAACAATAATGACACCAAGATTTTACGTGGAAACCCTTCTGAATAAGGGAAAAACTACGGCCAAGAAGAGCAACTGATATCACTATAGCGAGGAATTATACACTATGTAGTAACGAGTACAAATACTCCTAAGACCACTACACACTCAAAAGAAATAAACATTTTTTTGCCTTTTCCACCTCACTACAATATCTCTCACACTCTATTTTTCTTCACAAACTATTTTCTTATAGTTTATGGAATACTTTGCTCTCTCTCTTTTCTCTCTTTTCTCTTTTTTTTTGGTGTGCTGAAATGAGAGTTAAAACTCTCATTTTATAGCCAAAACCTCACTCTGTAAAGCCTATAATATTTGACAATTTGCACACCCTTTTCACAATTTCAACAAGGTTGGCTACCAAACCAAACCAAGTCAATAAAATTGGCTACCAAATCATACCAATTCAACAAGGTTGGCTACCAAACCAAACCAAGTCAACAAAATTGGCTACCAAATCATTTGAATGAGATGGACACCATATCAATTTTTGACCTATATACATAGTATAATTTTCCGAGAAGCTTCTTTCTATATATGTGGGTACACCACTGCCTGCAACATAATTGTTGCAGTTTTTGGCGGACCATAAAATTCTCAAATAAGATAGACCTCATTGCTGATTTAGGATGGATTTTTGAGTTTAAACTCTATTATTTTCTGGTGGAACCATATATGCATATATAAAAATTAAAATATATACATACATAAAGTCAAACAAATTATGAATGTAGAACTTGAAAATAAATAATATTGGAAGCAGTCACCTGGTATTTCTGCTCTCAATAGATAATCTGTCTCTGTTTGTGACCAGTCAACTGTGCACTGATTGGAGCTGCGGGCGTTGGACAATAACACATCTGAATCAAATTCCCACAGTGGAAATGCATCTGAAGGATCAAAGAATTTTCCGAACAATAGTGGACTAAACAGCGAACCTTCACACAAGAAATCTGCCTTGTGAGTTGTTGAATTCATGAAAGTTACAAAAACATCTTCTTTTAGTGGAACACACCATTTCTGTGGGGTTGCTTCTTCAAATTGAACTTCAATCTGTTTGTAACTGGTCATTGAAAATTCAAAGAATGAAAATGAAAAGAAATTTGTATTCTGTTAATAATGCTGGACAGAGAATTTGAGACTTCAATCCTCCTTATGCTATTAGTCTATCAGGAGGTGCCTATAGCTAGGCAGAGAACAAATTCTCGTGGAAAAATGTGCTGTAAAGATAAGGGAATATATTTCTTATCTAGAAAAATGAGAAAATTACTTGTGCAACACCACAGTAAATGAGCGGCAATCGTTGAATTGATATGACGTGGCATAATAAAATAGCTAACTGTTTGTCTTATAAGAGTACTTGAAGTCGCATGACCTATAAAGTTGTTGACATGTAATCATGATATTACGGGTTTAAGCCGTGAAACGTGAATACAATTTATTACAAAAATACAGAGTAAAACTGCGTATAATAAATTCTTGTGATTCGGCGCTTTCTAGACCCGCACATAACGAGAGCTTAGTCACCGGACGACTGTCATCTTTTAAATCATGAGGTACAAGGTCAAATTATTCCATGAATATGAATGATCTGGTAATTCTTGGTTTGCATGCTCCTTTTCAATTTCTGGTCTTAATTAGCCAGGGACCTTACTACGAGAGGGAAGTCCATTTCCGTGGAGTCCAACATGATAGTGTAAGAAATCTTTACATGGCCAGTGCATGTAATATGTCTTTATTAACATTGCGCATAAGAATTCTTTAAACTAACATTACATATATATATATATATGCATTATTAATGTAGTTTAATTGATGATAGCAAGTTAGTTTACTAGATTATAGGTTAATAATTATAATATCATAGAAATTAATTCATAATTACTTTATAAGTAATTTGATTGTATAAATATTATTTTATACGTAAGGGAATAGAAGCCAAACTCTTGTAAACAATGAAAAATAAACATAAAAATGTAAGCCATGTAGTGAATAGTGATGAAGTGAAGTGTGAAAGGAATACTTGAAAGTGGATTAGGACGTTGATGATTGTCATGACCAACATATTTTCTTTCAATTTTCTCTGAGATTTCTTCATTTGTGGAATTAAATAAGCTTTAACTAAATGGCATTTGCATATCCACTTGGTCCAAAAAGCAGATGGTATTTGTCAGATTCATATTGGAAAATTCATGTCCATAGCAGGTTGGAATCCACTACTCCTTTTGAATACTGAAAAAAGCCACTTTAGGAAAGTGGACTAACGCAAGAAATTATAATAGTGTTCATTCTTTAATATTTGGTAAAATTTAAACACATTTAAATATACATATAAAATATATTGAAATGACTTCATATATATCACATAAAATATATATACTACACACCAATTATCATCTTAAATTGTGACCCTCTTTAACCAAATAAATAAATAAAATAAGGTGCATGGACTGTATAGAATTTTTTCATAATAGTTACTAAACCTATAACATATGAAATAAAATGAATCACAGGCCATACATGGATCTCTTCAGCGTCATTGTCGCATTCTATTGCAAGGGAAATTCAAAGATTTTTTTTTTTTAAAAAAAAAGGAAAAATGGATTGAAGAAAATTATGTAGAATTACACACAGCAAGAAAAATGCAAAACGATTGGTAAATTTTGTTACAGCATCTCCTGAAGAACACAAATTCACTTTTTTCACCCAAAGAATTTCTCGGGTCAACTTCATGCCCCTCCCTGACCCGCACCCATTGCATGTATAGTTAATTGTATTTAGCCTTTTGCTTGATCTGGTTTCATATACAAAACCCCAAGTGAAAGAATTTATATTTCTTTTTTCTTTTTGGGTGCGGGGCCTAGTCTTTGAATGACACGTTACATTGTAATGTGATTATTCTTGTTTGGTTTTGGGAGGTGTGTATTGAATTGACGAGTTTTTAATTTGATCATTCGCAAAGAAAGCTTCTTGATTTTTATTTTTATTTTTTGGATTTATGGAGTGTTGTGTTTGATGCCACTGTATTAAGTTTTTGCATGAAAAATTGGAGGTGAAGTCACAAAGATTCTTGTAACAAAATTTGTGATTAAGACATTTAGAAGTGTGAATTATTGTTTCTTTCGAAGATTTGTTAAGAGTTGGTAGGTAAATTCAGCAAAAAGTTCAGCTTTTTGTGGCCTATTAAGTTGGGGTTTATCTGAAATCATTCATGAAAAGCATTTTCTACTTCTTTGATGCTGATTCAAGGGCAAATGGGTGTGAGAGTAGTAGTTCATATCTTTGTAGTATTCTTTCTGCTTTTCACTTTGGTAGCAGCAAATCCTGGAAGCAAAAAGGACTCAGAAGATCATTTACTTGCCAATCTCATTAGCTTTGTGGAGATTAATAGAGACGTGGTACTGAACTTTCTTATTTTCTTTTGAGTTTCAGTCACTCTGATATGCAATCAAATGTTCCTTTTAAGAAATTTACTTAATTGGTCTTTTATTGTTCTTCGGATAGGATACCTCTTCTTGACTAGCATTAAGGAGAAGTTAAGCATTACTTGATCCCTTGTAGGAGTTGGAGTTCTTGATGTTCAGTTCTTATGTTGTCGAATGATTTTCATGCCATTCAGTTCGTATCGATTAATGAGAGCATTTGCTCTTCTCTGATACTAGGACGGCCTATGCTTGATATTTCAAAGTTTTATATCATCTAAAAGGGCAGTCCGGTGCACAAAGCATCCCGCGTTTATGGAGGGTCCGGGAAAGGGCCGCACCTTAAGGGATGTGATGTAGATAGCCTACCCTAATGTAATCATTTGTGGCTGCTTCCACGGCTTGAACCCGTGACTTTTAGTTTACTCGGAGACAACTTACCTGTTGCTCCAAGGTTCCCTTCTAGTTTTATATCACTATAGCCTTTCCAATTTTGATCTTTCATGTCTTTGCTTCCTTCAATGGCTCTTTATTGCTTTCCTGCTGCCAATTTTCCTTTATATGGGTCTAGGTTTATCTATCATAACCAAGCACAAATAAACCCTTCAAGTTCCCTGTTGTTCCAACTCGCTTGGACCTGGATTAGCATCCATAACTCTCACCTATGACTCTCCTGAAATTAATTTTTGGTAGATGTTACTAATAATTATTTGATCTATACATGTTTGAGAATGAGCATTCATCACAAAGCTTGATCAAATCTCCTGGTGCAGGTTGAGCTATTGTGGTTGAACTGTAGGATAGAGTTAATACGTGCTAATGAAGCTGTTGAAGATCTTGAGTATTATGTTGCAAAGGAAGATTCAAGTGGGAAAGACGAAGTCCTTCTTGACAGTAGGTCAGAAAAACATAAGCATGTCAATGTCATGCATCCGCTGGTTAAGCAAGCCCTTCTAGGTTGTTTGAGGGAAAAAAATCTCTTGTTTCTTATATGCGGAGAGGAGAAGGGCTCGTCAAATTGGTATACCAAGTGTGTGGAGTGTCTCCTTTCCTGGCACCGAGCTCCTAAACGGCGAAAACTGAAAGCAGCTGCTAATCCACCACCTGCTCCTCCTAATTCAAAGTCATCTAAATCAAAAGATGACAAAAACTCAAAAAAGAAATCTGCAGGTAAAGGGAGTATGAAAACAAGCACTCCTGTGGTTCCTATTATTGCGGCTGCTGCTGCCGCATCTGTTCTTATTGCAATCCTGTGTATATGCTGTTGTTGTAAGTGTTGTAGGAGATCGAAAAAGGGGTTGAATGATGAGAGACCTCTTCTTAGCTTAAGCTCGAGTGACTATTCATCACATAAGTCATCTGCTTTAGGAGCTTCATTCAGTAATCATTCAGTCAATTACAATCCCCATGACGATTCTAAGATTGAGATTGGAAGGACGGGCCCCACTGGAATGCCTCCGTTGAAACCTCCCCCTGGTAGGATGATTCCTTCCGAAGCTCCTGCTAAGGCAGCCCCAGCCCCAGCCCCACCCC